CCTATATTAACCGTACCATCCCTGTTATATTAGGTTCTATTATAATAGACCTAATAGAATAAAATGAATAGCCGCTATAGTAGTAGTAGTAGGGCTTGCCCACCTAAATAGCCGTAGCTAGAATTCCTATAGAATTTTCCGCCGCTATAGCCGCCGCAGCCGTAAAATAAGAAGAAGCTACGAAGAAAGAAATTGTACGCTTCGTACAAAAGAAGTAAAACTTTATTAGAGCGCTATTTACTAACGACGAATTCGTTTAAATAATAAGAATAGTATTTATATATAACCTGCTATTTAAAATTAAGAGAGCCCCCTTAATATTAATATAATTACTGTAATAACTATTATTACCCCGAACGCCGCAGCCGGTACTATATGAAAAGCCGCTCCCTACTATAATTCTAAATATAAGAATATCCGCTAATTAAAATAGAATAAAACCCTTTCTATATTTAATTTCTATATTACCCGACTACGCCTTGTATACGAAGAAGAAAAGTCGGCGGAAGTTATTACTAATAATAAATTAAGTTAGTTAATATTATTAAATATTTTCCCGGCTAATAAGGTAATTAAAATAGAAACCTTTTAGCGCCGTAGCGGTATTAACGGTATTTATAAACCCGAGGATTTTCTTAATTATTTCGAATTAATTTTTAATAATAAGAATAAGAAAAAATTAGTTTTAACCCACTTACGTACTATATAATAGAGAGAGAACTAATCATTCTTAAATTAATTCCTTACGTTCGAAGAGAACCTTACGAAAATTAGAGGCCTTATTTAAGAAGATAATTCCAAATTAATTTAATTAGAAACCTTTATATCTAATACTTTCTATAATTAATGAATTTCAATCTATATATCCGAAACCTACGACCTTTATATTATATAATTAAAATATATTGTATAGAAGTTTAAAGTTAATAAAGCTTTCTATAATATTGGGGGTAGTAATAAAGGATATAGTAATCGTCGTTAAAGCTCCCTTTCCCGGCGCGACCTTACCCTTACCACTAAATACCCTAAACATATAAACGGTAATATTATAATAAATTATATTAAAATAAAGGGTAACTTTAATAATAAGGACGTTAAGTATATTAAATAAATCTTTTAGAGCGAAAGAGATAAGCGCCGTATTTTAGGTATCTATTTCCATTGCGGAATTAGGGGGTATATAATCGGTAATTATATATATTGATTAATATAACGTCCACCTATTAGTATTAGATTTACTAAAATTAAATTTAAGGTAGAACCTATATTAGAAGATAATAATAAATATTCTTCTTTTAAAAAATCGGAAAAAGAATAGCTCCTTATAAAGTCGAATGAAAGAGCACTCTAGAATATTAAGTAAGGAAGCGGGAATTAAGAGTTTCCCGGGACTTATAAAAATAAATATTATTAAAATATTTATTACTATTAATAATAAAGATTATTTCTATACCCTTATCAATAGAAATTATTAATACTATATTATAATTAATAAAAGTATTATTAAAAAGTTAAAGATTCCCGTTATACTTATATTTCAGAGATAGGTACAAGGAACCTTAATAGACATAGAAAGGGAGGAGGTTAAAGGGATTATTTATTTTGAAGTAAATATTTATAGGTATAAATCTATCGTTTATATTTACGTAGTCCCTAAATTATAATTCCCTATTATTCTAAGGAAATTATAATTAACCGCTATAAAGGCCTACTTTATTTCTTATAAATATAGACTCTAATACGGAATAACCGGTTATTAGATCCTGCACTTAGAATATTCCTTAAAGGATTTTTCCCTAAAGGCTAAGGAATTTAAAGAACTAATATACTATTTAGTAATTACGTTCGTAGTTATAGTAAATAAAATTAAAAAATAGAATAGCCGGTAAACCGCAGAATTAACAATATTTATAGTAAACTTATGAAATATCGAAAAGGCCTTTAAACTTAAAGTCGGTATAATAAATAAAGAATTACGAAAGATAATCTTTATAGAGATATATAATTACCTATTCGTTTAGAAATAAAAGGAAGCCGATCAGGTTAATCCTAACCGCCCAAGTATCATTTATAAAATTAAACTTAAAAAAGACGAAAACGGTAAAAAACCGCCTTTCTTTTATAATTACCTTCATAATATATCGCAAAAAGAATTCTTAATACTAAAGAAAACCCTTAGAGATCTTTTCGATAAAGGTTTTATCCGTACTAGTAATTTAGCTACCGTTGCGCTAATTCTCTTTATTAGGAAGCCGGGAAGAAGTCTTCAATTTTATTACGATTATAGAGGTCTTAATACTATTACTAAAGTAAATTAGTACCTATTACCTTTAATTTTAAAAAAATATTTAGAATTATTACTGAAACGAAATAATTTACTAAAATATTTATTATATAAGCGTTCTGTAAAATCTATATAATCGAAGGAGAGGAAGGGAAAATAATATTTTGAATTCGATATAGGTTATTTAAATAGTTAATTATATTTTTCGGACTATTAAGAATACTAGCGATATTTTAATAATATTTTAATAATATTTGTGACGGCGCTGGCAGACTGGGTCTGGGTGCCATGCACGAGGTGGTTCATGAGGCTGTTGGAATGAGGTATATAGAGGTTCTGTTGGAAGTCCGTGCCCTGGGTCGCCCATTCACCGGCTTTGCCCATTCACTAGGCCGTTCCATTACCGGCACTCCCTTCCAGGTATTTAGGCTGCCCTGGTTTCCGTTTCTCCTCTTCCGTTACACAACTACAATCAAGCCATTTTCGTTGTCGCCTTCCAGCCTCCATCAGGTTCTGGGCATAGTACAGATTAGAGGATGCGAGCCATTCAATTGGCCATGCCAAGACTGGTTATAAGGTGGACCCTCGTACGTATAGGGGTTTGTCTTGTAGGTGAAGGGGATGCGAGTGAAGGGATTGGCTGTCGGCGACCCGTATATGGGTCCCGCTGTCGCTTGTGCGACCAGGGTATTTATTTGGGTCTGCACGCTTATATTTAGTTCTCCTCCTCCTTTTTTTCCCCTATTTAAAATCTTTTATTATAAATGGAATTTTAGTTTTACTTTCGATTTACTTATATTGTACCCTTGTATGATTTTACATTAATTTAATAACTACTTGAAGGTTATATCTTAAATCGAAATTAGAAAGATTTATTGTAAGAATTTAAGGTATTGAATATTTATAATAATAATACGATAGCGCTTTTACGTTTAATATGTAATAGCGCCGGTAGTTGTAAGGGTACTGAATAGATTGAGAATTGCGACGATCGTTATAACGAGGATATTTTTAATAACGATTACGATAATACCTTTTTCGATAAGGAGGGTAGAGATAGCGACGAAAAAGGAGGCTTTAGTTTTCCGGATCCTAACCTATAATAAAAGGAGGATATAGTTATAAAACCGAAGCTTAAAAAGAAGGTCGCTATTAGTAATAAATATAAATTTATCGACTTTATTATTAAAAATAACGCGTATAAAGCTATACGCTTTAATAAGGAGTACTATAATAGCTTTTACTTAAATAAAGAACGTTTTCGCAGTAAATCTATAATTTTTTATAAGAAGTCTCTATATTATATATATTATTAGTTAAAGTTATTCGATAAAATATTGGCCGAAGTGGTAATTAATTACGAAAATGATAATGAGGAATTTAAATTATCTTTAAATTTATTCGATTACTATATTATTTAAGTAGTTAAAAATATTAATAATTTTAATACCCGTTTGATTAGGAAGGAGGTTATTAATGATTTGAAGTAAAAAATGGAGGAATTCGTTAAATTATTTATTAGCCATTCCGTCCCTAGCGTTCCTTTCTAAATATTTGTCCTTTTTAAAAAAAAAAATTTCTAACTATTTTATAAAGGAGAAATTTATTAAATTATATTACGGCGATTCCGAAACTATATTTTAGGAATTTAAGTTGCTATTTATTATAGGTATAGTACGAGCGGAATAGGTATTAGAACTTTATTATTTCGTTTTCTATTTGAATATTAAATTTAAAACTATTTATAATTGGGTCCCTACTTTGGCTAATTATTACGGCGCCGCTACTCCCGCTATAGTCTTATAATTAAAGGATTCCCTTATAGAGAAGGCAGATACTATCGAGGGATTGAAAGATTTTATTACTAATTTGAATATTGGTAAAGGAGTGATTAAGAATAAGAATAAGGGAAAGGTTAAAGAAATGGTCCTTCCTAATATTGAGAAGGACGTTAGCGAAGCTCCCTTTAGGGTTTTTACCCGCTTTTTAATTTTACCCTTTAAGATTGACCCCGACGACGGAGAGTATTTTAGTTCCCTCTATTGTAGTATTAGGTAAGCCGACCTTGCTAAGTATTATAATTAGAATAAAGAAGACGATGTGCTTTTCGAGGTTTAGTACGATTTGATTTAGAATAAATTTGAGATTAATATTGATTACTATTTAACCAATTACAATAAGTTTCTATATATTAAAAGTCGTTTAGCTAGTTATCCCTATTGTAATTTAATGTTTTATTTGCGCGAAACCTATTCGGATTAAATTAAAATTTATTTTAGTTTAATGATTTATTTAAAGCGTTAATATTATAACCCTAATTAGGAGGAGAATGCGCTTTAAAATTTTATTAAATTAAGGATGAAAGATAATAATAATTTCGACTGCTTTAAGAATAAATTTATTTGGATAGTTAGCGAGTATTAACGTCCTAAGACCGAGTGGAAGCGGGAATTGTTTTAACGCTTTTTAATTAAATATAAGAAATAAATAGGTGTAAAGTATTGCGATTTATTTATTTCTTTCGAAGTATATTATATAGATTATTTTAGTTTTAGATAAGTATTAAAAATTATTACCGACGAAAATAAAATTACTTAAGTTAAGTAAGAATAATAATTTTAGTAAAAGTAATAAGGGATTCGGTTTTAATATTACTCCTAAATTTATTAGCGGAGGCAGAGGTAGTAGAGGAGGCGCCATTCGTTAGGGTAGCGATTATAAAGAAACTATTGGATTGTTTAACGAAGGTAGATGTTTCCTTTGTAAAGAGAAGGGTTATATTGAATGCGATTGTTTTAAGAAAGAGCGTTTCGATTGTAAACGCCGCGATTATATTGCCGCTATCGTCGACTATTATTTAATTTAGAAGAACGGAAGTGATTAAATAATTTTAATTGTTCTAGCTCCTCTAGCTACTAATAAATAGGGAAATTAATTACTTTAGGTAAATTAGCTTCTTTCCTAGAGGAGGTATCGGTTATAGAGTAATAGAAAAAGGATAGATAGAAATATGAAGGAAAGGAAGGATTTAATTTGATACCCTTTTTGGGAGGGGTACCCTTACTTGTTTAATATATTTTAATCAATAATAAAATCTCTATCTATATTTAATACTTTAATTAATATAAGAGTAAATAATTATTTATTTATTAGTACCGCTTTTGTTAAGAGACTAAAGAAATGATTATTGGTAGAATTTATAAGTAATTTTTTAGTTCGAGGAATTAGCGATTACTAAGGATAAGTGAATTAGAGTATTAAAGAGGTATTTAAAGCCATTTTAAAGATTAAGAACCGAATTACGCTACCCGATTGTTTTATTATAATTAATATAGCGTACGATATTATTATCGGCCGGAAATAGTTCGACCTTTACGATATTAAGGTAAATTGCGCCTACCAGCGTTTATTCGTCCCTTTAGAATAGAAACCGGATTCGGATTAATTAAAGTATTTCGAGGTTTAAAATTTATTAACTTGGTTCAACCACGCTTATTAAAAAGATTTAGAATATTACAACGTATTAATAGTTTGAAAGGATAAGCGACGAACGGACGGTAGGAATAGTAGCCGAACGGTTATACGCTTTACGAATAAATGTATTTTAATTAAACTTATTTTCGACGGATAACTATTCTTTAATTATTATAAGAAGAAAGAAGTTGATTTCGAAACTTAAAATTAATATTACAACGAAGCCCGATAATATTAGAAGGATATCGAAAAACGGATTTTAGAATTGGAAGCCGCTTTAGATTTTAAACCTAAAATAATCCTTATTGCGTCCGCCAATCTCTAATATACCTATAACAACGCCGGCGAATTCGGATATACTTAATTCTATTATTTTTTTTAGAACTTTACTACAATATTTGAAAAGACTAATTTATTAAGTAAAATAGAATCTAATTTAATTAATTTTATTTACTTTATAGTATTGTCTTTAGAATCCGAAGCCCGACCCTATTATCGAAAATAATCCGCCGAAGGAAAATAGAGATTAGATGCTTAAAGTATTTATTGATTGAAGTACAACGGTATAGGCTAGTATAAATATCGTCCTACTTAGATATCTATATTAGATAGAGATCTTTTATACATTTTATTAAGAAGGATAATTAAACTACTTATTTAATTAATATTTTCGAAATTGATCGATTTATTTAGTAAAAACGAATTATTAACGATTTTGTTTAAAAACCGCTCCCCCGCGACGAAAAGGAATTCTATAATAAAATCGAAGTTTTTAATAAATATGATTCGAATACGTTGTTAGAGTACCGACTGTACGATTATAAGATCGAATTCGACAAAAGTTATCAATTAGAGGAATTTGGTTATAGCCTTCTATATAAGATACCCTTTGATAAGTTGGAAGTTATATGTAAATATATTTTTGAGAACTTAATAAAAGGATTTATAGAAGTAAATTCATCCCTTTGGGCCGCGCCCGTCCTATTCGTAAAGAAAGTGGATAATATTTTTCGTGTCTACGTAGACTATCGGAAGCTTAATATTATTATTTTTAAAGATTGTTACTTATTATTATTAATCGAGGAAACTTTCGCTAAAGTAATAAAAGTATAATAGTCTACGAAGATCGATATTTAGCAAGTATTTTACCGGATTTGTATAAAATTAGAAGATAAAGAATTAATTGCCTTCTGTATAAGTATAGGAATTTTTAAATATAAAATATTACTTTTTAACCTTATTAACGGTCCCACTCATTTTTAGAGCTTTATTAATTCTATTTTCGGAGAATACTTGGGCGATTTCTGTACGGTATATATCGACGATATTTTAATTTATTCGGATATTTTCGATGAATATATTGATTATATTAAAAAGGTTTTCCGTCGCTTAAAAGAGGTAAGTTTATAAATAGATTTTAAGAAGTACGAATGCTATATAATTAAAACGAAGTTTTTAGGATTTATTATAAACTAAAATAGTATTTTCGTCGATTTAGAAAAGTAGAGGTTATTAAAGAGTAGGCTGTACCTTCTAATTTAAGAGGAGTTTAATTTTATTTAAGGTTTTATAATTTTTATTGAAAATTTATTAAAAATTACGGTTGCGTAGCGTATCCCCTTACGAATTTAATACGAAAGAAAGAAGTATTTATATAAATTAATAAGTACTAAACTGCTTTCGAAGAGTTTAAAAGATTATTCGTAGAGGCCAGTTATTAAAATATTTCCGTTACGATATTTAAACGAAAGTAGAAACGGACGCTAATAATAGAATATTAGTAAGAGTATTATCCTAACTTTAAGAGGATACGGAAGAATAATATTTAATTATTTTCTTTTTAAAAACAATGTAGGGCGCCGAATATAATTACTTTATTTATGATAAAGAGCTATTCGCTATTATTAGGGCCCTTTAAATACAGTAATTTAAATTCGTCGGCCTTTAATAGAACAAACCGTTTATAAATATTACCGATTATCAAGTATTCGAATATTTTAATATTAAATGCTTCTTTAACTTTTAATAGGTTAGATAAATAAAATTCCTATCCTAATATTATTTCGAAATAATTTACCGACTTAGTACGAAGAATATGGCAATTAATGCGCTTTTTCGTAAATCGGAGGATTTCAAAACCTGAAAGGATAAGAAGAATATATACTATACGTTTTAAATATTTAAGCCTATTAGGGAAGGAGGGGTCGAAGTATCCGTAATTATTTTAATTTCGAGAGATAAGGGTTTTATAAAAGAATTAGTCTTAATTATAATATCAGATAAAGAGGGCTTAGAGTTGAATTCGGTCGAACCGGAAGGATACGAATTGGTAGACGTTCTTATAAAGGCTAACCGCGAAGACGAATTTCTAAAAGAATATTGTATTCGCGCTTATAATTTAGACCCTAATTTTGTAATAGTCATTAATAGATTCTTAATATATTAGGATCGCCTAATTATTTCTAAATTGGATAATTTATATACTTGTATTATCGATAAAGCTTATTCGACGTTAATTACGGCCTACCTAAGGAGAAGTAAAACCCGAGCGATTTTTAAAATATAATATTAGTAGCTATATATAGTTGGAGATATTAATCGCTTTATTAAAAATTATATAGTATATAAGGCTAGTAAAGTTTTTAAGAATAAAATATTGGGTTTCCTTTATTCGATTCCTTTGCTAGCCCGGAAGTGGACGTTTATTGTTATAGATTTTAAGAAAATGTTAAAGGATAAATATAATTTCGATAACGTATTAGTAATAGTCGACCGCTTATTAAAATTATTTTAGGTTACCCTTTATATAGAAAATACTACGGTTTATAACGCTATTCGGATATATTACAAAGAACCTTACTATATTAATAGTATATTAGAGGAAGTGATTTCCGATAGAGGATTATAATTTATATTTATATTTATAGACGAAATATCGAAGTTAATAAAAATAAAGTAAAAACTAGTTATTGTAGGATATAATTAGACGGCGGGTTAAGCGGAGGTTATAAATATTTATATCGATTAACACTTCCGGCCCTTTGTTAATTATTATTAAAACAATTAGTTTGAAGCTATTTTCACCTTAGATGCGGTATAGAATAGCTTTCCCTAAAATAGTGTAGGCCTATTTCCCTACGAAATTATATTCGGATACCTAATAAGGATACTTTTTAATAAAGAAATTTATACTTGAGATCCTAATATTTTCTGGACGGAGTAATTAATTAGGGAGTAAGTATAAAATTATATTTAGTATATATGCAGTTATATTGAATTCGTAAGGGAAATAATATTGAAAATATAGGAATAATAAGGGGTTTAAGTAAATAAAAAATAGAGAGAGCCCGATTTTGAATTAGGGAATAAGGTTATTGTTATTAAATAGTTCTAATTTACGACTATTCGACCTAGTAATAAGTTCAATTTCCCTAATATTCGCAATTATTATAAAATTATTGAGAAAGTAGGGTATTCTTATCGTTTAAAATTATTAAAGAGTTGGAAGGGTATTAATGTTTTTTATATAGATTGTTTATAGAAATACGATAATAATCTATTTTTAGGATAGGTATTCAAATATTCCGGACCGGTTAATACGGACGAAGACAGCGATCCCGAATAAGAAATTAATAAAGTTACAGTTTTTAAGGTAATTAACGGGAAATTCTTCTACTAGGCGGATTAGAGAGGTTAGGATTCTAATTTAAAGTAGTACTTTATTTCCGATTTTAAATATACGCCGAAGGCGCTTTAGGACTTTTATAAAATTAACCCGGAGGCCTCGGGCCCGCCCTAGCAATTAATAAATTGGCTTAACGAAAATACAGAATAGTATAATAATAACGAATATTTTGAGGCGGAGGGATCAAGGCGTTTGTGGCGTATTACGAAAAAGAAATAAATATAATTTATAAAGTTTTATATAATTATCTAATAAAATTAGCGGACGAGTTTTTTGTGTAAGGGGGGGGGGGTGTGATGTAACGGCGCTAGTAGATTGGGTTTGGGTATTATATATAAGGTAGTTTATAAGGTTGTTGGAATGAGGTATATAGAGGTTTTAGGTATAGTATAGATTAGAGGATACGAATTATTTAATTAATTATATTAAAATTAGTTATAGGGTAGACCTTTGTATGTGTAGGGGTTTGTTTTGTAAGTAAAGGGAATGCGAGTAAAGGGATTAGTTGTCGGCGACCCGTATATGGGTCTTACTGTCGCTTGTGCGACTAGGGTATTTATTTATGTTTGTACGCTTGTACCTAGTTCTCTTCCTCTTTTCTTTTCTCTATCTGAAATCTTTTATTATATATGGAATGTTAGCTTTGCCTTCGACTCACCCATACTGTGCCCTTGCAATATTCTAAGAATTTATTTCGATAACTTTAT